CCAAAATTTTGCGTTGCGGCAAGCCTTTCTTCACGAGAAATTCTATATGTGAAAACATCTATATTCGAAAAAGGGTCAATTTTAGTCTCGGAATTGCCACTTTTTTTCTATAGGTCACATTTTTGCGCCGTAAAAAGTTCAAATTCGTGAAGAGCTCAAGATTCTGAGTTACATAATATATTTTTCGATAAAAATTTTCAAGTACTAATTCTATGGACAACCCAACAAGGAATAATAGGTCTTATAGAGTGGCTCATGCTATTTCAAAAAACAAAAGAGTTTTGTAAACTCTCGTTATGATATTCGTAATTAGCGCTTCTAATTATACACATGCATCTAGTTTTAAATGTTTGAAAAAGAATCTTTTTTTTCATGATACCTGTGTGGAACCTCAGGCACGAAAATCGTCAATGTCGATTTTCAGAAAATAATCCTAAAAAATATGATCAGGAACCATCTCTTGTTCGAACCTGATAGAAATAAATGGATTCTGAGAAGGACTCCAAAATGGGCTGATCCGCCCTTATCCTTTACTGGCAAGTGTTGCACTTGAAGGTACTTTAAATGTCAGCTACTTCCTCATACTTGTATGGTCTATATCTCCAGAATGGCTTATCTGTTTGAGCTGAAATTTCTACATTATTCCTAACTATGTTAGCTCTGCCTACTGTAAAAATATTAACCAAATCGATAACATCGATTGAGCAAGGGTGGTTGTGGCTTAGGTGTAATGGCTCCTGAGATACGGATTCAGACAGGAAACGAATTCGAAACAATTAAGAAAAAATGAGTCGATAGAACAAAGCAGGGATATTTCCTTAGTAGAGATATCAGATCGGAATGCACACATGACATAGGCATACAGGACGAAGGATAAGTTGTCGACAACACACAGAGAACAGAAAACAGAAAACAGAAAACAAATTTTGGTGGATCAGGTGATTACTGGCATCTTTTTGACCAAGTCTTATTATAACTGCAGCGTTCTTAATTTGCGTAGTTGATCTGTATAGCGTAATCATCTGTGAAGAGGTCAGTGATCAAGTAATCAATATGCATGTTTTGTCTGAATTTTTGTTATCATACATCTTGCATTCAAGGACCAACGTGTTGGAGGAAGAAATCGAACCGCCTGATTTCTGACCGATAGTCAGAGGCATAGAACCAGTATGTCATCTCCGATTTGGAGCTTCTAACTATGAAGACGTAGCCAACTGAAACGCGAACAATGGGCAGAAATTCTACTTTCGAGTTCCTTTCCTAGAAACTCGAATTCCTCTGCCAGTTTCCGTTCCTCTGAACCCAGAGTGATTTGTCACAATGTATAAGAAAGAGTATAGTTGAACACTCTAACGTTTGTGTTTGAACACGTTCAAAAACGATTTGGAACATGTTTACCTATTGTTTGGAAGTGTAACCCTCACAAATAGGAATCCTGACAACCCTCCCTTCGATTGTTCGAGCGGCGCGTTGCTCTGTACTCCACAATATTGATTATTGTTGCGGAAAGAATGCGATTGACTGAATCCAGAATTCTTGTATAGGTAATGGATAAATCCGAGACCATCTGCGGGTTTTGAATGAGTGTGGGTGAATGTGGGCACGAGTGTAGACGTGTGGATGAGGATTAATAAAATATTAACACCCTCATCCATACCTATATCCTTTGAACGAATTGATTCTAAAAAGAAGGTCGGATCTGAACCGAAATTCAGCTACGTAGCTTGTGGCGTTTTTCCGTTACCAATGCTTGTGCCGGCCTAAATGGTTGGGCTGGATGAGACCAGCTCATAAGCCTGCATAAGTCATCCTTCATTTGGAGGTGTAGGTGTGGGTGTGGGTCTTCTTTTCATTCGCACCCACACCCACATCCACACCCACACCCTCAATGTCGAATCTCAGTTGATTGGACTAGTTCAAAGTGGCCATCCCAGATTGGCCTAGGCGGATCTCAGATTGGACTAAATCCGAGATTGGACGCTAACATATATATTCATACTCATAAATTACATCTTTCATAAAAAAAAACAAAATTTATTATTTCTAAGAGAATGACTATCGTGATCTATTTCTTTTTCCAAGAAAAAAACTGTACTAAAATCTTTTCTAAAGCCGTCTAATTCAAGTATAAGATCAAAGATAGTTGAAAAAAACAAACGTTTTGTTTTTTCAACCATCTATTAGTAAATCGATAATATGTATGTAGTACAAAATACAAAACAAGGAAAAAGCATCTATCAATAGTTATTTAATGATAAATTACGTAATAAAGAAAACCAAAAAGAAACGAACACAAAATCAATAATTGTTTTTGATAGTACCACCTCCACTATCAAAACAGAAAAATTGAAAACCAGCCAAAACTCGGAACAATGTAGATTTTGCAAAAATTCAAATGAACTTTTCACTTTTTTCTCTCTATACTCTCTCTCCCTCTCTCTTATTTTATCATTTTATTCTCTCTTTTCTCTCTATTTCAGTCTATCCATTACGTGGAAGTTCGATTGACATTCATCCAAATGCTCGATGGCAACAGAATGGTACCACTGTAGCTGGAGGAAATCGACAAGGCAATGGAATCAATCAACTCTCTTACCCATGGGGTTTGTATGTTGATGATGATCAAACAATCTATGTTGCTGATACGTCGAATAACCGTATTGTGGAATGGAAATTGGGTGCAAAGAGTGGCCAAGTAGTTGCAGGTGGAAATGGACAAGGAAGTGGGAATCATCAATTGTCAAGCCCAGAAGATGTGATTGTCGACAAAGGGACAGATAGTCTCATCATATGCGATGGTTCGAATGCAAGAGTGGTTCGATGGTCTCGTCGAAATGGAACAAGTGGAGAAACAATCATCTCCAATATCTCTTGTTTGGGTTTGACAATGGATGAGAATGGATCTCTCTATGTTGTTGACGATGGAAAATATGAAGTGAGACGATATCGAAGAGGAGATTCTCAAGGAATAGTGGTTGCAGGTGGCAATGGAAGTGGAAATCGTCTCGATCAACTCTCTCACCCAGAATACGTATTCGTCGATCGAAATCATTCAGTATATGTATCTGATTGGGAAAATGATCGTGTAATGAAATGGATGGAAGGTGCAAAACAAGGCATTGTTGTGGCTGGCGGTCAAGGAGAAGGAAATGGTCTTACACAATTGTCATTTCCTGAAGGAGTCGTTGTCGATCAATTGGGCACTGTCTATGTGGCTGATCAAGTGAATAATCGAATCATGCGTTGGCCCAAAGGAGCCACACAAGGTAGTGTCATTATTGGTGGAAACGGTAGTGGAGGACAATCAAACCAATTCTATTGGCCCCTCGGTTTGTCATTCGATCGATATGGCAATCTCTATGTCGTTGATTGTGGAAATCATCGAGTACAAAAATTCAATATCGAATCCAATAATTAAAGGACTCTGAAATAAAAAAAAAACCTTTTTTTATATTGTCAACATCGCAGTCATTCTACAGAAAGAAGTGACGACGGAATTCTTGAAATTCTTCAAAAAAATATAATAATAAAATGTACTCTAATTATAAACGAAATATATATCTGGCTAAACCCAGTATGATGACCCCACGCCGGTTCCATCCAAGATTCCGAAACCTTGGAAACCTTGAAAAATTTCGATACATCCTATTCATTAAAAATAACGCAAAGTCATTAAGAAACTTCTTATTTAGATGTTTCTGAGATTGTGTCACACTGTTCAACATCTGGAAAATCGTAGGTTCTGTGAAAATCCTTGGTTCTTGCATTGAAATCATCACTTCCGAAAAAATGCAAAAGAAACCTTCGAATCCTGGACACGCCCACTTCGAAAAAAGTCTTCAACACCGAAAACGCCAAGGAATCCTTAGTTTCCTTGAAAATTCTAGTAATATTCACATACTATGCCATAAATTGAAATACCATCTGACTAAATCCAGTATGACCCCACGCCGTTTCCATCCAAGAATTCCAAAACCTTGGAAACCTTGAAAAATTTCGATATATCCAATTCACTGAAAATGAATCAAAGTGATCAAGGAACTTGGTTTTTTCAAGTTTCTGGTGATCTCTACAACATGCCAACACCTGCAAAAACAATGGTTCTGTGGAAATCCTTGAGTTTTGCAATTATTGTTGACCGAACAAAATGCAATTCAACCCTTCAAATCCTTGAATTTCTTCACTTTACTACCAATCCTAACCGATTGAAGTCCCAAGGAATCCTCGGAATCCTGGTTTTCCATTGGTCTCCGACAACTTCTGATTGTTCAAACCACTAGACAATCCTTGGTATCCTTAGCTTCCCTGTGGTTCAACACTGTACCAAGTACGAAGAAACTCTTAGTATCCGTAGATCCTTCAATTGCTTACCTTTCGAAGCAAGTTAAAATGTGCCAAATAAAAGAGTATCCTTTGAATGCTTGGATTCCTTACTTCGGATATTATGTTAGCATAAAATTAAAAATAATCCTAAAACTTCTTCATTGCCATTATCAGTCAACGCTAGTCCTTTAGCATTCATGCCATCGGAGTTAATTAACGCGGAGGTATTAACATTAACTTCGCATTATTTTAATTCAACAATTGCTCGCCTCTAAAGTTTGTAGACATCTACAGAATAAATTGGCAATGCATTTCACGTGCCTCAGAAAACAATTGAATTGCTAGAAACCTCATCTGGAATCCTCCCTGCATCACCTGTGATCCATCTGCCAGGTGTGAGTGTGGGTGTGAAGATCAGAGCCACACTCACACCCGCACCCACACCCTCTTGTTAACAAAGAGTATGGATTTGTGTCTGGAGCAAGGGTGCAACAAATCTAGAATAGATTTCAAATTTATGATCGATGGCCTTGAAATTTGGTTTGCATTTGAATTTGGATCTTAGATTTAGATTTGAAGCATGGATTTGCTTTTCGATCAAATCCACACAAACAATTTGGAATTCGGCGACCATTATCAAAAGGCAAACTATTTATATTATTTTTGTCGAATACAAAATCCAAGTACGAAGGATTTCGTGCCAAATTACAAAATCTTTTTCTTATTGTGCTGCTTCGCTAGTAAAGTAGATTATTGTTGTGTTATCTTATGCTACCAAATCCTGTGAGATGTGCCAGTTATTTGAAACCAAATCCAAATTCATATCCATACAGAATTCAAATCTTGTCTCAAAGTCAAACCAAATAATATCAAATCCTAGAACTTAAGATTTGCTACACTCCTAGTCTGAAGAGTCTCGGGATGAATGTCGATGTGCGGATCTAAGTGTGGCTGTAGATATGGGTGTGGGCTGTGTCTGGTATCTTGCTGTTTAGTTTTGAGCATGGATGTAGATGAGGGCGAGGTCTTTATTGCACCCACACCCTCATATGATATTTGTTAACAAATTTTGTGAAAAAAAAATTGTTGCAACCTTAAATTTTCGTCTTTCTTTACCTTTTTCTGTTCATCTGTTAGACAGCACTCTAACAATATTCGTCATTATTCATTATATTTTATTCTCAGGATTGACAGATCTTCCGAATTATTCGGAAAATTCCGAATTCTGGCACTTTTTTCTGAACGCTTTCCGACTTTCCGAATTCTGGATGTTTTTCCCAAACCTTCTGTTTCTCTAGATTCGAGCTTTAATGAGTTTGATTATAATTTCTGAGGGGTTGGCGGAAAATGTCGAAAAGGAAAATGTCGAAAGGGAAAAATGTCGAAAAAAAATAGAAAAGGAAAATATAGAAAAGGAAAATGTCGAAGAGGGAAACGTCGAAACAAAAAACACATAGAAAGGAAAACATCGAAAAGCAAAAATGTAGAAAAGGAAAACGTCGAATTTATTTAAACATGTCACGATCAAAATTAGATTGTTTGTATTCTCATTGGTTACTGTTACATAATCAATGATTATTCCTCAATCGTTATACACACATAGCTATGTGATGTCATCTCTACTTTTCCGGTTCTATCTGTTCGTCTATTTCGTCTTTCGTCAACACATTGACTCATCTTTTTTTTTGTTAACTTAATGTCTTTTTCTTTTTTCTTTGTTTTTTCTATATTCGTCTTCAAAGAAAGATGACCATTGTCTGTTTTTCCTTTCTCTCTTTGGATATAAATTCTTTTTTTTTTCAATAAACCAGTCATTCGTTCGTTCATTTCCACTTGATTAAAAAAGTACGTCATTATCTAACTGTTACTCTTTCGTCAGCACATTTTGTTCTCCATTGAATAAAGAAAAATTCTTAACATTAAATAAATACAAAATGATCTCAAACTTAGATTCTGAAGATGGTTCATTAAAAACTCAACAACTTGAGATATCATTTGCCACATCAAACAAAGGTAAACGATTGCTCATACATAAGAATTACTTATTCAGGTGTAACAAAACAACAGCATCAAAAAAATATTGGATGTGTAGTGAACGAGAATGTGGTGTATACATCCACACAAGTGTTACTGATGAACTTTTATCTATTAGTGGTGATCATAATCATTCAGCAAATCCAGACCAAATAGAAGTTAAACTTCTTCGAGACAAAATGAAAGAACGAATATTAGCTGAAACAATGTCCATTACAAAAATATACGATGAAGAAATCGTGAAGGCGAATCTTTCAAAAGCAGCAACAGCAATTATTCCAACTGTTGTGGAATATCGTGCGTATCACAGAGCACATCAATAAAATATTCTAAAATATTTTATTTTAATGTTAAGGATCCAATATGAGTAAAGCACGACGAAAAAATACACCTGTAATACCATCATCTGTCATGTTTGATATTCCAGAATTATACCAACAAACACTTGCAGGCAAACGATTCTTGTTCATAGATGTGTTTTTAAAACGTGGTAAAGATCGAATTTTGGTTTTTTCAAGTGACCAGCAGTTAAAAATTTTATTTGAAAGTGATACAATTTTTATGGATGGTACATTTGATATAACACCAGCTCATTTTAAACAAGTTTTCTTAATTCATGCTCATAAATTTGGTCAAGGTAGATGAGAAATCATTTGTAATATCTTCAATGCTTATATTTGCACACTTATATTACAGGTTTACCAGTTGCATTTTGTCTTTTACCAAATAAACGTGGAAAAACATATACCGAATTATTTGATAGATTAAAAGATCAAGCATGTCTTATGGGTACACAGTTCAATCCAAAATGCATCATCACAGATTATGAACCCGGTTTAATGCCTGTCGTGGCACAAGAAGTAAGTGTTTTTATCTTTATAATAAACGTTCTACATGTCTATTATATTGTTCCATTTTTGTTAGTTCCCTGTAGCTATCCATTCTGAATGTATGTTTCATTTTAATCAAGCCATTCATCGAAAAATTACAGATTTAGGCTTAGCAAATGATTATTTACATAATGAAACCATTCGAGATCAATGTCGTCAACTTATGGCATTAAGTCTTATGCCTGTTGATGAAGTTGAGCGTCAATTTCAACGTTTACAAACTATTACGTCGTCAACATTAAGTGATTTATTATTGTATTTTAAAAATCAATGGGTGCATGGTGTTGTTCCAATTCATATGTGGAATTTTCATGATGCCGACCATCGAACAAATAATACTTCAGAAGGTGAGAATGTTGTTGTTGTTCATCTCTTTCATTTCAAAGTTCTGTCCTTCATTGTTTATATTTTAGCTTATAATCTTCGATTTGCAACTCGATTATCAAAAAAGCATCCTAATATTTGGAGCTTTATACAATTAATTCAAAGTGAACATGTTCGTTTTGAACATATTTCAATTCAACTTGATGCTGGTGCATCTGCACCGAAACAATCGACAAAAACAAAAGCTTTTCAAATAAGATTTGATACTCTTCGTAGCAGATACATCAAAAAGGAAATCAACGCAATTGAACTATTGTCAGGTTTATCATTGCTAATTGGAAAGAAAAAAAAATAATATCTTCTTATCTTCCCTAGAGAAAGTACTGAGTTCAGGGTACCCATGTACTGAGAAAGCTCTAGCAGGGTACCCAATAGGGGTACTTTGAAAATTCTCAGTAATTTTACTGATGTATGTACTGTTTGGGGTACCCGTAAAAGTACATTCACTGAATAAGTACCTGCATGGATACACAAGTCTGTAACTTTACTGAGGAAATCTCGACAGGGTATCCTAAATTTTTCGCGTTCTGTGTGGCGACTATTCATTCACCGTTTTCTTTTGTACGTACGGCTCTATATAAACAACTCGATAAATCATAAGAAAATAATCAATTTTCATACTAGTTTTTTCTAAATTATTTCTTGACTATTTCTTAGTCGAGGAAATGCCGAGCTTGGTCGTAAATTAAGATCGGACTACCCTGAAGTGGTCTACGACCAACTCAAGTTGAGTCGGATCCCGACATTGTTCCTGCTAAGTTTTTGGAATTGAAAAAATTAAATTGAATAAAGTAAAAAAAATCTAGTAAATTATCTCAAGAAAAAGAAAAAATTTTAAAAAGTCAAAGATCAGGTTCGATCCTGAACATACTGAAAATTTGGTAACAGGGTACTTAGAAATACTATACAATGGTACCCAATTCAGTACTTGATCAGTACCTTTAGGTACCAAATTACTGTGCATTTTCCAGCAGGGTACTTGCCAAAGTACCACTTAGGTACCTGTAAGTACCTGCAAGTACTTTGGTACCCAAAAGTTCCTGTGACATACTGGCATCAGGGTACTTTTTTGGGTACCCTTATCTCAGTATATTCTCTAGGGTTGTCAATATCTTCTTATCTTGTCAATATTCTCTTATCTTTTTCGTTCTAAATTAATAAATTAGTCATATATCACAAGAAGAGATTAATTATTTCGACGTTTTCCTTTTCAAAATTTCTATTCGATGTTTTCCTTTTTTAGCTGTTTACATTTTCGAC